TATATATATATATATATATATATATATGTGTGTGTGAACAATAGTATTGGGACACCAGGCCATTACATCCCATTGTAATCCATAGGCATCAATATGGAGTTGGTTCCCCCTTTGCAGCTATAACAGCTGCTACTCTTCTCGGAAGGCTTTGTGTAAGATTTTGGAGTGTGTCTGTGGGAATAGTTGCCCATTCATCTAGAGAAGCATTTGTAAGGTCAGGTATTGATCTACTGATGAACCATGTGTCAATGGACCTTACTTTGTGCACTGGGGCACAATCATGCTGAAACAGAAAAGGGCCTTCCTCAAACTATTCCCACGAAGTTGGAAGTATAGAATTGTCCAAAATGTCTTAACATGCTGTGAAGCATTAAAAATTCCCTTCACTGGACTTAAGAGGCCGAGCCCAACCGCTGAAAAACAACCCCATCGCATTGTCCCTCCTCCAGCAAACTTTACAGTTGGCACAATGCAGTCAGGCAGGTAACGTTCTCCTGGCATCTGGCAAACTCAGACTCATCCATTGAACTGCCAGATAAGTCATTCCACAGAACACGTTTCCACTGCTCCAGAGTCCAGTGTCGGCATGCTTTACACCACTCCATCTGACACTTGGAATTGGACGTGGTGAGGTGAAGCTTGCATGCAGCTGCTCGCCTATGGAAGCCCATTCCATGAAGCTCTTTTATGCTGCGGTTAATGCCAAAGGCAGTTTGAAACTCTGTGGTTCCTGTGTCAACAGAGCGTTGGTGCCTTTTACTCTGTTATTTCACATGTTCTTTGTGGCTGAGTTTCCACTTCGCAATAATACCACTTACAGCTGACCATGGGATATCTAGCAGGGAAGACATTTCATGAACTGACTAATTGCAAAGGTGGCACCCCATTATTTCACAAATGTTTGTAAACCTGACTGCATGGCTAAGTGCTTCATTTTATACCCCTGTAGCAATGGCTCTGAATGAAACACCTGAAAGACGTGTCCCAATACTTTCGTCCATATAGTGCATATTAAAAGAGACCCCTCAACCCAGTCTTCAGTTCTTAGTTATTTATCTGATCAGACATTTGTCACCATTCATTTGGGGGCCTCTGGTCCATGGAAAGTGGAAAATATCTGCTTCAGGTTACTAAATATCTTGCTTGTGCTTAATATAGTGCCCCCCGGAGGCCGAAATGTGCAGTTCCCACGTTTCAAATTTCAAGTTTTATTGTCCACATCTCTTTGGAGTGAACACAGTGAAATTCACATATCACAATTGTGGGGTGTGTGGGCGGGAGGGGGGGGCATAGCAAAGGGTAACAACAGAGACAATACAATATGGGAATAAGTGAACAATAAATAAATAAATAAGACTTAAATGGGATAAGGATGTGCAAGTAGACCTCAGCATAGTAAATAATACAGATGATGATGATAATAATAATAATAACCTTGATGGCCGCTCTGTACTTGGGACAGGAGTAAGGAGGAGGAGGGGAGGTGTGAGCTGGGGACCAGGAGCAGCTGCTGCAGGGGATGGAGGGGCGAGGGCTCCTGTGAAAGGGAGGGGGCTGTAAAGATGGAACATGAATGCAAGCAAAGGGACCTGAACGGGACATTCAGAGGTAGCAGGTCCCAAAAGGCAGAGTACTGCTGTAATCTACGGCTCAGCATAATGATAACAGAGGCAGCTGGCAAAGCTGGCATGAAACAGCATAGAATGAGACCTTGAAGCAGCTCTTGCCAGACACACTGTTCCATATGCTCTACATATCGGTCTGCTTTCCCTTTCTCTTTTATTTCTGATTAGATTTGTTAAATTTTTGGGAGCTCAACATGCAAATTCAAGACTCAAGAGCCTAAAATAGAGAGAGAGGCTACCCCCCCATGAGACAGGGCATACCAGATCAAACAGAGAGGGGGGGGGGGGGGGGGGGGGGGGGGCGTGCCACGTGAATGTCTGTAGGGAGAGGTGCTAATCCCGAGGAAGTGAAGGGTCATACCCCCAGGGTGTTTGTGGGGAGGGGTGTTAATCCTATGGAATGGGGGGTGGTATCATCTGAATATCTATAGAGGGGGGAGTTCCTGGGGATTGGGGACAGTCACTGCCTGTGAGTGTCCGCAGGGGCCCAGGCGGCATGTGTGTGTCGTACCCCTGTCAGCTGACCTCCGCTCACGGCGGCATCCCGCGGCGGGGCGTGCGGCTTCTGTGAGCTGGCCGAGTCTGAAGAGTCACTGGTGACTTCGGCCTTTATCTGAAGAGGAAAAGCGCCTCATTGTTCTCCCGTGTGACCTGTGACCCCTTTCACAGTCTGACACCTGATCAGTGTAGCGCTCTGACCTCATCTCTCAGGCATCTTTCTCCATTTCAGTCCCTGATCGGCAAAATGCACTTACTTGTCTCGTAAATTCCAGACCATTTTGTTCATTTTGTTCATCTAGGGGGAAAGAAAAACATTGACTTTTACCTTGACACAGACACTGCTCATTACCCGCCTGCGAGCCATTACAGTATTTGATTGCTGTGCCTTAATCACTACGCCCTCTGCTGTCTTTATTTTTAATTATCAATGCCACCATTCTTTGAGGAATATTTGCATTTCTTCAATGTCCATCAACCTTTCAAAGCTAATTTCCAATTTCACATAATTGATATATCTGAATCCATCCATCCATCCATTTTCTGTGGGTCCAGAGCCAAACCTGCAAGCTACGGACAAAAGGCAGAGAATAACCCAGGGTGCGGCACAAGCCTATTGCAGGGCACACACACACACACACACAGACACACAGACACACAGACACACACACATACATACAAACACAGACACACACACACACAGACACACACACACACACACACACACACACATACAAACACAGACACACAGACACACACACAAACACACACACACACACACACAGATTAGGTGTCTATATCTTTTTCAGGTCTCTCCATTTATTTCTATAGGCATAACCCCAATCCCAACTATGACAACCTTAAAGTTTTTCCCTGACTCTCATCTTCCTTTTTATATACAGCCGTGGAAAAAACATAAGAGACCGCTCTATATTTTTAAGCAAATCTGCATTTTTAAATCATGGTTTAATTGCAGTTCTGCTGTAGTTCGGCAGAAGGTTACGCTGAGCAGCCAGATGAAAATTTGAACATGAAAGCAAAACAAAAATAAAAATAAGGTGAAGCAGAAGACGCTGGGAATGACCAGAAACCAGTCAGGTAATAGGCTTTCTAATGGCAGAGATGACCACTAACTTATCCGACTTTTTCTCATGAATGGTAGGATGACATCAAGTGACCGTCAGTAGGAATGGGAAACATTAAGTGCAGGTGGGAGGTGCACTGGTAGGACAGATCATATCAGGCTCCTAGAAGCAGGACTGAGGTCAAATAAATCAAGAAAGAAGCCCTTCATTAATGAGAAACCAGACTGCAGTTTGCAGAAAAGTATATATTATTCACAGACGCACATCCATAAATTGAAAAGTGAATGAAACAAAAAATTGTGCTGTGGTCTCTTAAGTTTTTCTGTGGCTGTATCTTGTTTTTCAAATAAAACATAAAGACTGAGTACTTCAAGCAGAATTATACAAGCAATTTAAAAAGTATTGATTGAATAATTAATTGTGACTAATAACTGAATTAATAATAATGTAATAAATTAATTAAGTTTAATAAAATGTAATAAAATAAATTAAGTTTAATAAAATGAGAAAAGTAGGGAAGTGTTTCAGATTTTAATGAAAACATGATGTGATAATAAAAGTAAAGACTGAGCACCAATAATAAAATATTTTAGGTTAAATAATTATGTGTGTCTGTGTGTGTGTGTGGGCATGTATATATTACATTGTGGGGACCAAATGTCCCCACAGTGTGATAAAAACCTGTTATTTTGGAATATTATTCAGAATATATTTGGTAGGAACATTTTTTCGGTCCCCACAAGGGGAAACTCGTTTTATTAAAAAAATGTGACTGCAATAAAAAACTAAACATGTCGAAAGACTTATATTTTGTTTGGTTAGTTATAGTTAAGCTTCGGGCTTGGTCGGGGTTAACAGCAGTAATTGACTTCATTTGAATGTCAAATGAGGGAGCTGGGGGGACGTGGCAGGCCAGGGAGCCGCTGCTCTTCCAATATGGAAATGCTTTGCTTCTTACCACTGTGTCACAGTATGGAAACCAGGGGCTCATGCAAATAGGCAGGAGCATGTAACCGTGGCAACCATGCGGAGACCACCACATTTACATGTTTACAGGCTTCCAAGCAAGCAGCCGGGATAAGGCGGAGCTGTCAAACTCCGGGAGCAGGAAGACGAGGTGAACTACTTCCTGTAATCTGTGAGCTACTCAACAGGATGAACAGTAGGGCAGCATTGTCAGTCCTTGGGCTGTATGGAGCAGGACGTAGGAACATGAAAGGACACAGTGAGATTACAGGCTGCCTGAACTCACAAAAAGCAAACAGTGGGGATCATTGGGATACGCAAGGTGGAGGGCAGCTGAACTTCTCACAGTACGGGGGGACTCTCAGATTCACACTAAAGACGGGACTGAGAAGCACATCCACGCATCGGTGTGATTTCCTCTCTAACATCCACCTTCTTCACCAATAATTTCAGCTACTTAAACACTGGCAGCCCTTTTTGTCTGTACATGAGAGTCCTGTGCATTGTATTCTGATGACTTGATGCTCTTCACCTGAGCCCAGGATTGCCACTGGAGTGCCAGCAAGGTCATGAGGGTGAATTTACTGTCAAATGTCCTCCTATTGCTGATAGACTGTCATGTGCATCCAAACAATATTCAAGGTCCATTGCTCTAACTTAACCAGAACGTAATCCTAACCAAACGTTAACCACCACAATAATTACTTAAAAATAATAACCCTGACATAATACTAAACTACTTCTAATCTAATGCTACCCTCCACAGTGAACTAACATCCATGTTTCTAACTTTAGCTTAACCTAAACATAACCAGAGCTGGGTAATTCTGGTCCAGAGAGTATAAGTCCAGACTGGGATTTTGTTTCAACCAACCAGTTAAACATAAAGAGTCACATTCACAGAGTACTCAACTGGTTGGTTGGAACAAAATCCCGGGCTGGACTTTCTGGACCTGAATTACCCAACTCTGAACATAACCAATCCCTAACTTCATCAAACCAAGAAATGGCAAAGCTGCAATGAGTTATTCAATTTAAGACCATGTCCATTGTTACCATTTTTCTCACATTTTTTGTGAAAAGCACAATGTAACAACAAGCATTTCACAGCAAATGGCTTGAACTTCTGCATGTTTCTGTTTTACATTGAATAGAGGGCTCAGATGTTCCAGGAGACTGAGCAGAGATCCCACGTGAGTCATGCTGAGAGAGCAGAAATAGACACCAAGGTCCCATTTGCATCATGGTCCTAACAGATTTATTTTTTAAATAGAATATACTTATGAAAAAAGAAAAAAACAGCCAATTAAACACGTAAACTTTCTCTTGAAAAGACAAGGCTTCCACCACGCAAAGCAAATAGCCTTTTGAGTACATGCTGGTCTCTGTGTTTACTCACTTCAGAGGTCGCAACTTCCTTACTGTTCATGCAATTTAAAAAACATTTAAAAGAGATACCAATACCATACCAACTATCTATATACCATATTACTGTACATATTTTTATATCTCAAATCTTCTATTCTGTCAAGCAAAGAATATACATATTTTTTTCTGACTGAATATATTGTTCGCTTTTCATTGAATAATTAATAATTATTTAAAAATTCAGAATTGCTAATTGGTAGCATATTTCAGTTTACTTATAACCTAACTTTTAATTCAGTTAATTTAACCTAGTACTCGTGTTAAAAATAAATCAGTACAAAAATCAGTTTTAATATATTATTGCATCCCTGAAAGGATGAAAATGACAATCCCACAAAGCACAGCAGCGCCCTGTTTAATAGACAATCTGTGATTTCTGACTTGGGAACTCTTCTCACCTGGCTGTTTGTCGTGAGATGGAGCTGCTTCCTCCGGCTCAGAGCTCATTTCAATGCCTGCAATAACAAAAGCTGCTAATTTTACTAAAAGGTCTCACAGAAACATCCCCCATCTAATGAATTTAACTCCTAAATTTTTCCAAAGAATTCCTGTTACAATATTCATAAGATTCAGGGTGTCCCCATCTCCTGTTTAGCATGGGATCTCTCTCACTCTCTCTCTGGCATTTACTTTATCTGTAAGATTCAAATGTCCACATCTTCCCATATTAGTGCCAATGTATTTACCCCGATCAATCCTTTCTCACGATTTACCAATTAAATCTATATTCATAAAGTAGAGGAACAGTATGCAGACGGTTTGTCTTTACCTGTATAAAAAAAGTGACCTTACAGGTTCTATTTTCAGATCTTCCTTTCCTTCTTCCACTGCAGACAAGAAGGCTAAAATTCAAATTCTCTCAATACCCACTGAGGTAGAGAAGGTCTGGGTCCATCCTTTTCTCAGTGGTCACACCGGACTGACGAGGGACAATTTGCATGCGTCTCCAGATGCAGCCTATCCGTGTTTGACCATTTTGCATAAATCAGCAGTGGCTCCAGCTACATAATGACCTAAAGCACATGTGAGTTTAGCTGTAGTAGTCTATACTGTGGTAGTCTATGCAGATGTACACATATGTTACATATTACAAGTGAACATCTACACCATGAACAAATGCACCTATCTAAATGTGAAGGACTACCTGTGTCCTGTATGTTTTATAAGTGTGATGGCAAGTGTAGAGATGTACAAAGAACATGTAACAGATTACTAGTTCATGTTTAAAATGTAATAAGTAATGTAACTATTCTGATTACTTCATCAAAGTAATGTGATTTATTACATTTGATTACTTTTGAATTATTTTCTAATAAATGTTTTAAACTGGGCAATAATTCTGAAAAGTCTCTTTCTGGAAATATGCCAAAATACATTTCTGCATGGCAAAAAGGTGCAAAGCAACAGGATGAATGAAATATTCTACATATATAGCTTTTACCGAAAAAAAATATATTCGGACGTAACCCATTTGTAATCCCCAACATTTTGATTAATGACTATAATTTGATTATATGTTGTTTCTCAGTAATTTTAACTAGTTATTCCCCAACACTGGTGAAGGCCTACCTGATTAAAGCCTGAACACAAAACAATACATCCCTCTGTGCAAATGTATGTGTGTGAAGGCCATACACAGACAACACACACAAGAATACATAGCTTACATTCTCTCCAAGGACTTTGCACACACAGCAAACATACAAACACCCAGCATAAGATGTTTTAAATTTTGGTTCCACCTGAGACTCAACTGAACTACCTCTAGCTTCTGTTTTACATCATCTAAGGGGAAATAAGTTTGTTGAATGTGTTACCATAGGATAGCTGCACAAACGCCAAATTGCACGACTGAAAGAGAAATGCACTGACATTTCTGTTCTGGGTTTCGTTATGACCCCTGACGTGTAACAAATACTGGCACCTAACAGGTTAAATTCTATCATTCCAGTTTAAACCACATTACCCAAGTAGTGCACCGGGTTAAATGGGTATATCTTCCCATGTAAATGGGGAATCAGCTAAATGAACATTAATAAATATGATAAATACGCCGTATAAAAGCTGGATGGATGGAATATGACCGATTGTGTTTTATCTATTACGCACCATCAAATAAAATCCTTACATGCCATGGTTATCACTGCACTTATTCTTGCGAACCATCATATACTTCACGTCATCAGAATCAGAAGACTTCATTAATCCCGGAGGAAACTGCTCAAATACTTGGGATACGAATCCAGGACCTTTGGTACCAGAGGTGGGAATCATCCTGCACTATCGACATATATCCAGGTAAATATTTGCAGCGCATTAGCTATATCAGTTAAGCTAGCAAACATGGGTTTGCTGACACCTTTATAAACTAGTTAGTACTTTTACTATATGTCTTTCGGACTGATAAAATGTAATGCTGCATTTTGGTATTTCTTACCTGTAGATGTGCACGGATAGTCTACCGTCACCATCTTTAAATTTTATACTACATCGTGGACTTAAAGGAAAAACTATTTATAAAGATGGGGATGCGGCTTCCATCAAGTGTCGGGAGGCGCGGCTGCGGACGCAACAGGCAATTCCAGCGTTCGCACCTCATGGGGGTGGCATTCGACATGGTCGTAATTTATTTACATGTGAATAGGTCATATATTTGAATATTCATCAGAAGCTGGGAAAGGCAGGGTCAAAGTCGACTAGTTTATTGTTTATTGTAGCGAATGACTGGTAGGTCCGTGGCGCACCTCGGCGGCACGTCTCGCTGCTTAGATCCTCCACTTCACACGAAGCCAGCTACGTGCTCCAAACCTTTGGGCGTCTGCTGTAGTTCGATAATTGCTGTGTGTTTTAATTTAGATTAATTTTTCCCCCTCTTCGCAGTGCCATTGTTGTGTTACAGGACAATTGTGTTAACTTGTAACCCAAAAATACAATCGGACGCTTGCTGCTGTATTGAAGCTTTCCAGAGGAAAGCTTTCGTCGTAGTTAATTATTTTTCAAAATAAGTTAAAGAACAAAACACAATATAATCAATGAAACGCCTTTATTGTGTGCAGGACAACATATTTCTATGTAGGCTTAAATAACTTTATACCTCCCAAGTTACTTTGTATTCGTCCTTTGTCCACATTTCAATATAAAAATAAAGTTTTATTTTAGCTGCATGACGTATTAAGGCACCTGTACGAAATTTTCCGAAGTGGCAGTTAACTGATATGATTTTAAAGAGCTTAGCATAAACAAAATTAAACATTTTAATAAATACCACTACATGTTGTATAGCACTGCGTTACTCTTTAGTCAAACAGAACTCTAACAGATAAGGGGCATCAGACACTTAAAGGTATATATTTCTGTGACGCACAGACATTTAATTCCTTCACAGAAACAGCAGGTGGCAGTGTTCTTCTCTTAAGGCTTTCAGCATCATTAATCTGTTGAGAGGCACTGAGAGGCATATCTCACTCCTCAGAGGACAAAGCCTAATAAGGCATAGACTTGTGAAAATAAACTCACAATCCTGTCATTTGCCACAATCATGTCAAAATTCCAAATCCCCTATGAGTGAAGGGCTCAGTTCTCATTATTGACAGAGCAATGCATTCTTTGGTTTCAATTAAATCCCTGAAATGGAAAGAAACTTGTGTGGCTAAGAAAAGTAATGCCTTTAACTGAATACTTGCAAGAAAATGCAGTATTCCAAAGAATAAGCATGTTTGGGCAGGCAAACGATTCCCTTTCGAGGAGAAGACTTATCTGAAGGTCTTATCTGAAGTGGCCCAAGTTTCTATTTCGGAAGGAGACCCAACAATAAGCTGCCAAAACTCCTGTCACCAGCACATAGTTACCAAAAAGCTGTAAGATCATCCAGACAATGGCACACGACACAAATCCCACCTATGAACATGTAAAAATGAAACCGCTTGCTGAAAATGGGAAATTTCACACCAATTTTAGTTCACGTCAGACTTGGTCCTGCTCATCTTATGTCACTCTCAAAGACACTCAAAGACACACACATACACACACACACTCTCTCTCTCTCTAAACTCTATATCTTAAACTGTGAACTTTCTATTCAATGGGATTAAACTGACCTGAAAAGAAATGAGCTGTAATGAGTCTGAGCTGCGTGTTATAAGCTAAAAGCCTCCAGGCCGCTCACACATTCGGGATAGAGGATGCCATGATGACATCACAGGCTGGACAGAGCTCCTGCCTCCCTCCCGCTATCTCTGCTCAGCTGGTCATTTCCTGAAAATGGATATGTTCCTTATAATTTACCTCTATATAACAGAAAATCTGTGACAATCCAATGGGGAAACTATGGAAAACTTCTGTCTGTCAACTGATTATCTGTATGTGAAAATAAGTAATGAAGGTGTTCTGTATCTGCAAGCATGAAGATGGGGGGGGGGGGGGGGTCTCTGTGGAATTCTCCTGCCGTACCGACCCTAATGAGCACGCACCAATCAGGCGAGAGCTACATCATAGGTGCACATTGATACACTGCCAGACCGCACTCTAATGTTGCCCTATTGGTCCCAGGCGGGCTTTTATCCTCCTAAATTAAGACAAACTGGCACTCTGTATCATCATGTCCCATCTTCAGGAAAACACTAACGACCCCACAAAGTGAAACCAGTCAATCAGTCGTTTTGCAGAAACGAAGCCGCTAACCTGATTCACACCAAGGGATTTCAACAGTCCTTACAACAATCTTTCTTTCTCAGAGGAACAGGAATTGACCGCATCAGTCGCAGATACAGGCTATTTGCCACAAGGGGGCAGTATAGAGCCCCAATGCCAGCTCATGTAGAAGTGAATGTGGCAGGATGCTGGAGGATAAGACAGTAGAGTCGGGCTGCAGAGGACCTCTGGCAGTGCGTCTAGGTGTCCTCCTCATCCCACAGACAGAGATGCCTATAGGGGACATAGAAGCGAAAGTGGAAGCCTTTGCTGCAGCTCCTGATGCCGCATTTGTAGGGACTGGCTCTGGCGGCGTGGGTGTGGCAGTAGCGCAGCAAGCAGGGGTACCACTCCAGGCGCAGGCTGTAGCGGCAGACGCAGGGCTGCCACAGGCCCGGCGAGGACGGACAGTCCTCCAAGCCCGGCCCCTCCCATGACTGGGGCAGCGGCTGGAATGTGGCCCCTTCCACACCTTAGGGGAAAACAAGCACGTCATTTGGGGCAGGGAGGGTTAATCTAAAATATGATGCGTCTTTGGGAACCAACAAGCAGCCAGCTGAGAAACAAAACTCAGACTAATGTGATGCTTGACATCATGTTGCTCTAGAAAGGAAACTGGCAGAGCCTTTCTTGCCATAAATACTCGCTAGATAAACAGGTGCCCTGTTGACGGCTCACATTATCTCTGTCGCCTTACTGGGGTCACATGCGTAATCAATAGGGGGGAGCTCACCATGGTCCAACCAGTGCTGGGCGTCGGCCTGTTGGGTGTAGATGGCAGCACCCGCCTCTCTGCACACGTTACGGAGGTGGGGGCTCAGCTGCCCGGCACGGCTCAGATTGACGGCCATGCCCATGCTCAGCTGTTCCATGCCCCGTCGCTCCTCTGCTGAGCGAATCGCCCGTGGGTTTTTCTGTAACACAATCATGGGCTTGCTGACCTCGGGGGGGGGGGGGCACCAGCGAGGACATAGCAAAGGGGACCCGACTCTGATCTCCAAGGAGGACCATGTTCTTTCAATCCTAATTTTGTAGGCAATGATCCAGGGGTGGGCATTCTTATCCAGAAAGGTCTGCTGGTTATGCAGGTTTTTGCTCCCTAATTGTATCACTAATTAGAGGACTGATTGGCTGAAGAGTCCTCACACCTGGGTTTGAACAGCTGACCTGAAGGTTACCCCAAAAACCTGCAAACACACTGGCCTTTTGCTGATGAGACTGACCACCCCTGATCTACACAGTAACCTAGCCACCTAATCTAGAGTATTGATCAGGTGGTAATATAGATGCACTATCCACAGGCTGAAGGACATATTGACCAGTGTAGGTCACCACAGATCTACCAGCTGGGGCGAGATCCTACCTGACGTAGGCGGGCCATGGATTCGCTGGAGATGAGCTCATTGTGGTTAAGCCTGGTTACAAAGCATAAGACCTGATACTGCCTCTGACCGCGCTCCAGCTCGCCCAGGATCAGGGTTCGAAAGATCTTCACCTCCTACAAAATATGGGGAGAAGAAAGCCGTTCTTCAGCTCAGCATTGCACACACTAACTTCACCTCCACATAAATACACCTCAAGCACCAGTGCTACTGTAACCCTGCCCCTGAGCCCAAAAACACCACCCCCACAAAGCAGCACTCCATTCAATGACCAAACCCACGGGTCCTTACCACATCAAATGCTTGTACCATTAAACCAAAAGTTCAGACCTGAGTAGACTGCAGCAGTGACTCACACCGGTGCTAAACATTTTTACACAGCATGTAATCTGGCAGGAAAACAACTGTCAGACATCTACTGACTCAAGAAGTTTCTTACAAAAAATAAAGTTTGAACAAAGAAAACCAAATGTAAAACACTGCTGAACTAATGACTTAAAATAGTGGCTGATAGGAAGTAGATAGAAAACTTAGAATTGCATGATATGTGGCATAATCTTGCCATGTTTTGTACTGTCACAAAATGACTGCACTGGATTCTGTGTCTGACCACGTTCATGATGCTTTGTGGTCACAGTGAGCTGCACCGGCACCGAGATGTGGCTGGTGTCCAAACGAGGCCTGGGAGCATTGCATTATGGGTAGACTAGAACGAGAGAGACCAAGGACCTTTCAGCCCACTCATCAGCTGGCCGACATCCTACTGGCTGATCCGCATGACAGCTCACACAGGCAGCCAAATCACACATACATGCAGCCCCCGAAACACAATACATACACTCAGGCATACAACAAACACACGCCCCCACAAGCGTTACTAAATAGGAAACATTTTAAAATCAACACCCACATGGGTTACTACGACAGGTCCATCCTGAATTAACCCCAAAGTGTCCACCAGATCAGGGGCTTGCTCACAGTGGGTATGCTTCCGAAAATGATCACACAAGACTAGTTCCCAGGGTATGAGGATTCTTTTTCCCGGGAGAGTATCTTTAACTACGGAAGCTGCCAAAACTGGAACTTCTTGGATTCCCTGGGACTGACAGTCCTGTGAAGAGTTTACCCAGGTCTGGAGCGGCAGAGCAGGCCAAATGAGGGACAACCTAGTACCCAGGAAATGCTAACGAGCAGCACAGACCATGGCTGACACTTGGCGCTTCTTCTCCAGCGTTATCTGCTAAAATGTTTGTTTATACCGTTTTCCACAGCTTGTCGACAAATAAATCAGAGCGTGGGGTGCTCGTGTTCTTCATAGGGACATGGCAGCTCCGTTGAGGTCAAGTAACTTCTCTGCATTGTCCATACAAAAAGGGAACAATCTTAAGCATCCTGTTTTTACGTCTGACATCTCTAAATGATGTTGACAGTAGAAGTCAGGGAGGGAAGTTCTGAGGGCTACAAATCCACACCTGTGACTGACACGCCGCGTTTACCGCACGCAATGGGGTAACTGCAACTCAGCCAGCACCTCCTTTTCATCACCCTGACGTCCTTCATGGAGGGTGGGGGGAATCTCTGTCAGCCTGCTAGTGACTGACTTGATTCCCTCAGGAACTCCCAGGACCATCTACTGTACACTGGTTTGCATAAGACTCGAAGAATGCCGATTTCTTCTCTAATGGCAACAGCAGAACAAACACGACCTTCCCTGCCCTTGAACGTTGCAGTCTAAGAGCTATAAACAGCCTGCGGAACCTGAGATCCCCATTCCTGGCCGCTCGCGGGTCACACCGCCCACGCGGCCCGTCCCTTATCTCCAGCCACTCTGGGTTTGCCCAAAAAAAACAGTCCCCCTCGCCCACTCCTGTCTTCCGATTCCTTTCCAATGTAAACCTGTTTTTTTCTAATAAAGGTTGGTACCAGTCATATTCCCATCAACAGAAGCCTGTTAAAAAATGAGCCTAATAGAGGAGATCTGCCAGAAGAGGAGCAGTTTGAAAGGAGGCGATAGCCACACAGCTGTAAACTGAGCCACTTTTTAATCAAACACTCAGTATTTTTTATTTTGCAGTTCTGAATCCTCTTATACGCGTTCCTCCATGAGCACTGGAGAGCTCAGAAGCTAGCCAGGGTTAAAAATAACCCGTACAAACTGTGATGGACATGTATTCTTGTGGCCTAACTTGACGAAAGTTTTCAGGAGAGTTTGGTTTGAGGTTCGAATCCAACATCCAACATCAGATAAGCTTTTCATGATGGCGACTTCAGCCACATTTTGATTCCCTCGATCCACACAAGCCAGTCTGTCGACAGCAAAACAAAAGGACAAGCAAAAAAAAAGAAGTTGCAGGACAGCATCTAATTACAGGGCTGAAAGTGAGAACGTGGAGTGAAAAGTGGGTGAGGTCACACCCTAGCTGGTGCCGTCAGCCCAGACAGCAAAACAACTTAATGGGCAAATAATACTCTGTCAGCCAGCCTTTAGGAATCTTCTAGAAGCTCTTCTGGAACCATAAAGAAAACATTTCAGTAATGAGCAGCCCCCACCCCCCGACCCACCCACCCAAATAAAGAACTGTCCTACTTGGAAGTAAAAAGAAATCCAGGCTCTGGAACAAAGGAATTCTCTCTCGTTCTCTTTTGATGGTGCACTTATCTATCATTCCCAGTGGACTGGGGTGAGAAAGCACAGTGTCCTGCACTCGTACGCAACGTCCGAGTGAATTTCAGCACAGGATAGAGTCCCCCTCCGGCACAGCCTCCTCTTTCAGTCACTAACCTCTGCCTGACTCAGATGTCTGTCAGCTTCAGTCAGGCTCGAAAGCACATGGTGATGTGAACTTGACTCCTGTGTCCGTGACATGGAGCCACTACAGCAAACTACTAGGATTCACACTAAAGTCATGTTTTTTTTCGGTTTGGCAGCTTTTAAAAACTTGAAATCCAAGAGAGATAAAAATAATAATAATAATAAAAAAATAAGGAATTCATATGCACCTTTACTTTACTCTCATTTCCATCTATATAAAATTCTTTCTTTTCCTTCTTGAAACCGGTGGAAACACAGGCCAGTTCTCAAAAGGCACCAAGCAAGAAACAGCGCATCTCCAGCACCATGTTGGTGGAAGTGAGGTAAAATGACATGCATTTACATCTCTAAACGGATATAGTCAGTACGTTCACATGCACAGTTAATCGGACTACTGTCCTTGTCCCAGTATACATGCATGGGAGAGGAATTGATTTATTGACCGAAGTATGTCCGACTCCCGCTACAACAGGTCATATTGCTCCTTTCAGCTTGTTAATAGGTCAACCGGAAAAAGCCCAATACTATGTCACAGATGTAAAAAAAATTATTAAATTAATAATAATGGATGCGTGGACAAATGAAGTGGCAAGCTTTAATTGTGATCTGGTCAGAAGAACAGATACAAGATCAGGATAGCATAAAAAGAAATGTATTTTGTATAATATACTATGACAGCATGGTATTGGAAATTTTTCAGACATTGCGATGTGATTTTGTTGTAATAAAAAATGGGGTATTGATGAAACAAAAATGGAGTTTTACATAAATTTCCCACAAACCCATCTAGGTGTGATAAACAGCATGGATGAAAATCACTATGATTGTCTCAGAGAACGCAAGCAGCGCTCATGCAAAAGCAGCGGAGATAAACTTTAAATTGATTTTTAAACATATACTAGATAATCTTGAAAAGGAATAATTATTAAAATTGCAAAACTTGCTAAGTTTTTTTTTCCTATGACAGTAAAAATATTTTAGTGAGACAAACTCCCTGCGCTACAACATCCATAGGTAAGAAAGAGCCAAATTCAGTACGAAATATCCCACCTCTTGTTGTGATGTCATTCGGTGCCGGTACCAGTTTTTACAGCAGTGTTAAAACCGACACCTTGAAGTACCGTACTTTTGGTACCAGTATGGTACCTTGGGCGCCCTTAGTTGAGCAGTGAATTGGACGCAATTCCTTGTGGCTAAAATGTTATCTGAAGGCACCACCGTATGGCCAACAACTCAACCTCTACTATGCTCCAAGCTTCTTCTGTGTACTGGCTTCTTGTGTTACTTCCGGGTCAAAGCCCAGGGGAGGGGGGAACTGAGTAGCATGGGGAGAGCACCTAGGCCGGAGTAAATCGACCCCCAATCACATTATCTGGGTGTCTTAGTCCGACTTCGAGAAATTAGATTTAGTACAATTTACATGTACTTTAAATGTCTGGTTTTAGACTAACACAATAATTTGATTTTCTTAGTGTGCATGTAAACATACAAAGTGTGTAAGCTGGAGTCTCTGTACATGCCTGGTGTTACGGCACCAGGGGTGGACGTGGCTGAGTAAGTTAGGCCTCTGTGCCTGTGATCAGAAGGTCACTGATTCAAGTACTGTTTTCAGCAGAATATCTATATCTCCATTGGGTCCTTAAGCAAGGCCCTTAACCCCCAGAATAAATGGCTGCCACACTGTAAAACTGTTGAGGACTGGAGGCATGAGGGGGGAAAAAAAAAAGAAAAGTTCAAGGCGCCGATTATGTCTCCAAAGTCCCCAGATCTCAATCCCCAGACATCTGTGGGATGTGCTGGACAAACAAGCCCAATTCATGGAGGCCCCAGCTCACAACTTACCGGGCTTAGAGGAGCTGCTGCTAACATCTTGGTGCCAGATACCACAGGACACCTTCAGAGGTCTGGTGGAGTCCAGGCCTCAGCAGGTTAGAGGTGTTTTGATTGCACGAGGGGGACCTACACAATACTAGGCAGGTGGTTTTAATGTAATGGCTGTGTATGTGTATGTCTGAAAGAAGTGCAAAGTGGGACATGCAAAAAGCAGAATTCTGCAAATGGTAAATGAAACAATTTCATTACAGTGACCCATATAAAGGACAATTATAACAAACCCATAAAACACTTCACATTTCAGCAAAACGAACACTAAACCTAGGAGTGAAAGCCAAGTGGTAGACCTTATCCCTGAATGTCTCATATGGGAAGATTTACTCACTGGCTGGAGGCAGGAAGAGGCGTGAATGTGGGAAAATAGAAGATATTCACTCAAGATGGCTTTTGACACCAGGTCGCTATGAACAA